CATCCCAAAACAACTGAATACACATTCAAGTACATATGGAACATTCTCCAGGACAGATCATATGCTGGCCACAAAACAAGTCTCAATAAATTTTAAAACACTGAAATCATATCATGCATCTTTTCTGACTACAATGGTATGAAACAAGATATCCATCACAAGAAAGCAACTGGAAAAAACACAAACAAACACATGGAGGCTAAACATGCTACCAGGCAAACCAACAGGTCAGTTAAGAAATCAAAGAGGAAATTAAAAATACATGGAGACAAATGAAAGTGGAGAAACAATCATCCAAAATCTTTTGCATACAGCAAAAGCAGTTCTAAGGGGGACACTTACAGCAACACAGGCCTACATCAAGGAATCAGAAACATCTCAAACAATTTAGTTTTACACCTAAATTAGGAACCAGAGAAAGAACAAACAAAGCTCAAGGTTAGAAGGAAGAAAATAATAAAGATCAGGCAGAAATTATAAATGAAATAGACTCTAAAAACAAGTAGAAAGATCAATGAAATCAGGAATTGGTTCTTTGAAAAGGTAACAAAACTGACAAAACTTTAGCCAGATTCATTATGAAAAAGAGACAGGACCCAAATAAATAGAACCAGAAATAAAAATGAAACAACTGACACCACAGAAATACAAAGGATTGTAAAAGACTACCACAAAAATTTATATGTCAACAAACTAGACAACCTAGACGAAATGGATGAATTCCTAGAAACATAGAATCTTCTGAAATTGAATCAGGAAGAAATAGGATATCTCTGAACAGACCAGCTACTAGTAACAAAATTGAATCAGTAATCAAAAAACTCCCAATAAACAAAAGTCCAAGACCAGAAGGAATTACAGGTGAATTCTACCAAACATTTAAAGAAGAGTTAATATTGGGGCGCCTGGGTGGCTCAGTTGGTTAAGCTTCCGACTTCGGCTCAGGTCATGATCTCACCCTCTGTGAGTTCGAGCCCCGCGTCAGGCTCTGTGCTGACAGCTCAGAGCCTGGAGCCTGCTTCGGATTCTGTGTCTCCCTCTCTCTCTAACCCTCCCCCGCTCATGCTCTGTCTCTCTCTGTCTCAAAAATAAAATAAAACATTAAAAAAAATAATAAAAAAAAGAGTTAATACTTATTCTCCTCAAAACACCCCCCAAAAAAGAGAAAGGCTTCCAAATTCATTCTACGCGGCCAGCATTACCGATACCAAATCCATCCAAAGACACTACAAAAAAAACTACAATACCCTTGATGAACATAGATACAAAAATCCTCAACAAAATATTAGCAAACTGAATTCAATAGCACTTTAAAAGGATCATTCAGCACGATCCAAGTGAGTTTTACTCCAGGGATACAAGGATGGTTCAATATTGACACATCACACATTAATGTGACACATCACATTAACAAAACAAAGGATAAAAATCATATAATCACCTCAATAGATACAGAAAAATCATTTGACAAAATTCAACACTGGATCATAAAAACTCTCAACAAAGTAGATTCAGAAGGAACATATCTCAACATAAAAGGGACATATATGAAAAACCCACAGCTAACGTCATACTCAATGATGAAAAACAGTTTTTCCTCTAACATCAGGAAAAAAGAATGTCCACTCTTACCACTTTTATTCAACACAGTACTGTAAGTCCTAGTTGCAACAATCAGACAAGAAATAAAAGGCATCCAAATTCATAAGAAAGAAGTAAAACTGAAACTAATTGTAGAAAGAGAAATTTGGAAAACAATCCCATTTACAACTGCACCAAAAATAATAAAATACCTAGGAAGTAAAAGACTTGTACACTGAAAACCATAAAGTATTGATCAAAGACACTGCAGCTAACAAATGAATGGAAAGACAGACCACGTTCATGGATTGCAAGAATTTATATTATAAAAATGTCCATACTATCCAAAGCAATCTACAGATTGAATACAATCCCCATCAAAATACCAACAGCCTTTTTCACAGAACTAGAAAAAATAATACTAAAATTTGTATGGAACCACAAAAGACTCTAGAGAACCAAAGGAATATTGAGAAAGAAGAACAAAACTGGAGGTATCACTAACCTGGAGTTAAAGATATACTACAATGCTATAGTAATCAAAGTAGTATGGATCAGTGGAACAGAATAGAAAGCCCGGAAATAAATCCACACCTATACAACAATCTATAACAAAGGAGGCAAGAATATACAATGGGAAAAAAAGTCCTTTCAATAAAAGGTGCTGGGAAAACTGCACAGCTACACGCAAAGAATGAAACTGGACCACTTTGTCACACTATATATAAAAATAAACTCAAAATGGATTAACAACTAAATGTGAGACCTGAAACCACAAAATTCCTAGAAGAAGACACAGGTGGTAATCTCTTGGATATTAATCTTAGAAATATTTTTCTGGATATGACTTCTCTGTTGAGGGAAACAAAAGCAAAAAGAAACTATTGGGACATCAAAATAAAAAGCTTTTGCACAGCGAAAAAAACCATTAATAAAATAAAAAGACAACCTACTGAATGGTAGAAGCTACTTGCAAATGATGCATCCAATAAGAGGTTAGTATCCAAAATATATAAAGAACTTATACAACTCAACATCAAAAAGGCAGTCTGATTAAAAATGGGCAGAGGACCTGAATAGACATTTTTCTAAAGACGACATACAGATGGATAGCAGACACACGAAAAGATGCTTAACATCACCAATCAGGTAAATGCAAATCAAAATCACAATGACATATCACCTCACACCAGTCAGAATGGATAAAATAAGAATTAACAAGTGTTGGCAAGGGTGTGGAGGTAAAGGGAACCCTTGTGCACCGTGGGCAGGAATGTAAACTGGTACAACTGTGGAAAACGGTACGGAGTTCCTCAAAAAATTAAAAACAGAACTATAGAACTACCATGGGATCCAGTAATTCAACTACTGGGTATTTACCCAAAGAAAAAAAAAACACAATAATTTCAAAGCTACATGTACCCCTAGGTTTACTACAGCATTACTTATAATAGCCAAGATACGGAAGCAACCTAAATGTTGGGCGCGTGCGCACACATGCACACACAGAGACTATTACACGGCAAAAAAAAAAAAAAAAAAAAAATGATACCTTGCCATCTGCAACAACATGGATGAATACAGAAGTTATTTTGCCAAGGCAGACAGAAAGATATCATATGATTTCACTTATATGTGGAATCTAAAAATAAACACAAAACAGAAACACTCAAATACGCAGAAATGATGGTTGGCAGAGGGGAAGGTGGTGGGGGATTCATTTATCTCTATATGAATAAAATATAGTAAAAAGGAGAACAATCATGGGAATCAAGATAGTATTATTCCTTTATAATTATCTTTCGATACTGAATAATGTTGCTCTTACTGTTATATTTTTTAAATCTACATTCATATTCATTCATGTAAAATAAACTGTATAAAATGAATGTGGAAAAAACCCAGAGAACAAATGTATATCCATGTGTATCTACTTTCAATACCCTCGGACAGATGTACAGAAATGGAGACAAATAATTAGCTGGTAAATCTCATCCTCTTTATCATTGTAAAGTCTGTTGTCATCTCTTCCATTAAAGCCTTCTTTGACTTTGACTTGATAGGTCTTACTATAGAAAAATGTTGAAGGATGAAACACTCATGCAGAAACACTCATGCAGTTTAAAACCTCTATGTCACAGTTTTTATTTGGGTAACAGGACTTTAATAAAGACAGACTAAGTAGCTTAATGAAGACAATAACTTACTATCTTGTTCCTCATTCTATCTCTATGACCGTTCAGCAATTAGCAAAGTGCCTAGCAGAAACTGGGCTTCTTATATTGAGAGAATGAAAATACATGAATGCATAAATGAAGACAAAGCACTAAAACCTAATGACTGTCCTCCGAGACTATTAATAAGTTCAATAGTTTTCCTTAGCTATGTATGGTTCACTGTTCTAGAGTTCTCATGTCAACTCATTCTTATTATTTCCATTTTACAGTTGAGGAAACCAAGACATGAAGTAACGCTCAAGGCCACACTGTGAACTCTACGGCAAGGATTCAAATTCAGAAAGTCTGAGTCTAGAGCCTAGGCTTTAACCCACCGTGATACAGATTTCTAGAAATGCCACTTTAAAAACACACACTGTAAGTCTACTTCTTAAAAATGACTAAAAGGACAACAGGTAGAAGACTTGAAGAATTTTTCAAAGTAGTTGGAGAAAAGGAAGTTGAAAAGATTGAAATCAGGCATGCAGATTTTGTAAAAATGTAGGACAACAGACTTTTAAAGCATCCAATCAATGTAGAATACCTTCAACTATAGAAGTTATTCTAACAACTTATCTCAAGAGAATTAAAGTCAGGAAATAAATGGAATTTGAAATTTTCATTCACACAAGACTAAACATTAAGTCTTTTTGTTTTTTTAAGTTTATTTTTGAGAGTGAGCGCGTTGAGGAGGGGCAGAGAGAGAGGGAGAGAGAGAGAATTCCAAGCAGGCTCTGCACTGTCAGTGCGTGGAGCCCAATGCAGGGCTTGAGCTCATGAACCATGAGATCACGACCTGAGCCGAAATCAGAGTCAGATGCTTAACTGACTGAGCCACCAAGGAACCTCAAAATCTTTGATGGTATCTTATTGTAAAAATGAATATGATGAAACTCTCTGTTATCAATTCACAGTCACATTTTCTTGTTGAGAAATTCTAAGAGTACATGTTTTTTAACGTTTATTTATTTACTTTTATTTTTGAGACAGAGAGAGACAGAGCATGAACAGGGGAGGGGCAGAGAGAGAGGGAGACACAGAATCGGAAGCAGGCTCCAGGCTCTGAGCCATCAGCCCGGAGCCCAACGCGGGGCTTGAACCCAGGGACCGCGAGATCGTGACCTGAGCTGAAGTCGGACACTTAACCGACTGAGCCACCGAGGCACCCCAAGAGTACAGGTTTTTAATGTGCTGGTATCTTACCTTTTCTTTTTGCTGATGATCATGTCCATGGTTTGGAGCAGTCGCCGTTCCAGGGCGAGGATATCTGCATCAGTCACATTTCTATAATAAGCACAAACTGTTAGCAATGTTTTGGGACCCCATCCTTGGGCATAATAAATACAAGGCCGCTGACAAACACATAAACCTCAATTGTTACCCAGTAATTGAAGGACCTCTTTCTAGAGAATATTAACATGATTATAATAAACAGAAGTCCTTTTGTTGCCATGTTTTATAGCTAATATTTTTTACAGTCTCAGGGTAGTGGAAGGTAAGTGGCTCTCTTATATAGTCTTTCTTACCTCTGATCCAATGACATTTTTTAAAAATATTTTTAATGTTTGTTTATTTTTGAGAGAGACAGACATTCATGAGCGAGGGAGGGGCAGAGAGAGAGAGGGAAACAGAGAATCTGAAGCAGGCTCCAGGCTCCGAGCTGTCAGCACAGAGACTGACATGGGGCTTGAACTTGGGAACGGCGAGATCATGACCTGAGCTGATGTCAGAAGCCCAACCGACCAAGCCACCCAGGCGCCCCTGATCCAGTGACATTTATGAGGTATCCGTAAGCACGCCTGCAGCTTGGCAAAGCTTTGTGCAAGGGCAGTCTTGTAGCCAATGAGGTTTATCCGAGGCACAATTAGTGCTACTTTTGGGAGGAAGCGATTGACTGAAGTTGGGATTAGCTTGCACTGCTGTCCACAAGAAATGTGCCTTTAAGAGGAGGTAGAGGGTCTGAGTGAAACAACCATTTTAAAAATAAGTGAATGTAGGACAAATAAGGACAAACAATATAAGTGATAAGACTTATTCAGGAAGACTCCTAGGATAATGCCCATAAGGGCAGAGGGAAAGAATAAAAAGTCCGTGTCACAGATCTAATACTTAAGTATTAATGATGGCAGCATGATATCACGTACGTACGCATGAAGTCATAGGAAGAAAGAAAAGAGACGAAGTTCTCTTTACCTGAGGAAGTAGGACATGTACGTGTATGGGCAGTTGACAGCACCAAATCCAGAAAGAAGAGCCATGAGAGTCACACCGATCACACCTACCCGGCTGATGAGCTGTTCTATGGACAAAATCCCTAAAAACATCAAAGCACCTTAATGTCAGCTGATAAAGAGCAAATGTACTGTGAGAGGAAACATCACGAAAAACATCAACTGTTACATACAGCTTATGTAAGCCAATTTTAATTATCAATATGTATATCTTCCATAATAAATGTATAAAAGTCTGTTGATTTTCGTCATATCTCACATGCTTCTAGAATCATCTCCTACTGGGTGATGGTAATAGTAATAATTATAAGTAACACTCACTGATTGCGTACTCAAGGTAGTGTGAACACTAACAGAGCAATGCACTTTCAGTAAAAGCTTTGGTAAAAAAAAATACATGTATCAGCAAAGTAAGTCTGCTGGAGATTTACTTTGCAAAGTAACACTTTGCACTATAGTTACTGTCAATATATATATATGTATATATATATACACACACATGCATACATATATATATACACATATATACATATATATACACACACATTTCCTCCTTAGGTCATAAGCTCTTTAGGTCTCAGGAGCTTATGTTTTATTCATTTGTGCCAATAAACAGATAAGGCATCTAACAAACGGGCTGAATTTATACGTGAATGAGTACTTCAAACGCAAATATGTGAGTTTTTGATGATCAGTTGCATTCTAATTATCAACTGTTTCCTATGATTTGAGAATGCTGAAAGTCTGTAGGTAAAATAAATGCTGTTGAGATCTTGGATAAATGAGAGAAGGCAATGCTGAAGAACAAGCCAGGAAGTTTGGAAGCACCCGACAAAACTAGCTTTGTTTTTACTCCTGTTTCTAGGATGGGATCCACTTCAGCATTATCTACCCCTATGGCCTAACACCAGAGCTGCCATGCAGGAATTCTGTTGGCTTTGGAACTGAAATTCCAATAATCATGTTCTCTTGCTCTTGTGTTTCTACTACACCACTTTAGAGCTCTTTGTGACCTCTGGTCTCTTGTCCTTTGCTTCCCCCTACCTTCCATTTCCTTCTTCACTGAGCCTGACCTCCAAGCTTGCTTGCTTTAACTTCTCTCACTAGGACTCTGTCCCCACTGTCCTTCTGAAGTGCTGATCCTGAAAACTCCCAATCCTGGATCAATCTGACACTCGGTCTTCCCTGTGCCCGTGCCTGAGATGCTAAAACGCGTCCCGACGTTGGTGCCATTACAGATTTAGGTCTCCAGTCTTAACATGGCTTACACTACTACTGAGGGATCCTTTTCTTGCCCTTGGTCAACCATCTCTCCCCACCCCCCCAGCAGATAATCTTTAATCCATTTTCTCAATCCTTGTTCTCCTTAGCCAATGCCCTCATTACAGAAGTTATTTGTTATACCACCTTCACTCTACTATATTCACATCTGCAATCATCCTCCCACCTTGTCCCCCTCAAACAAGACAGTGTCCAAAGCTAAGACTTCTCTATGTGCTTTGATCTTATTCCCTTTCTACCTCCTCCAGAATCCTGTTCCATCTCCTGTCATCTCTCTCATCTTCAATCTTTCCTTCTTTGCTGGTTCTTTCCCTGCAGTTTCAAGTCTCTTTCCTAAGGAAGGTTAAGGCCTTGAGTTTACCTCTAGTTACCAATCCTCTATTTTTCCTTTAATGGCCACGCTTTTTGAAAGGAGTTTACACTTCCTATTACCTCTTCTTCACTTCCACTTATTCCTCAACTGGCTGCAATTCAGCTTTCATTCCATTCTCCTACCCTAAAGGAAACTGCTTTCACTAATAATTGTAATGGCAATAAAAAATTGGCAACATTCATCAAGCACCTGTTATGCGCCAGGCACCGTGGAAGCATTCTACTTGTATTAATTCATTTGCTCCTCATTACAGCTCTATGAGGCAAACAGTATCGAAAACCTCATTTTACAGGTAAGGAAATGGAAGCACTGAGGAGGTAAATTTTGTCAAGGCCACACAGCTAGCAAGAGGCAGAGTCAGGCTTCAAACCCAAGCAGTGTAGCTCCACAGCCTATGCTCTTAACCATTACTATAATATGGTCATGAATTTTCTTCTGGTTGCAAAACCCAATGACATTTCCAATCCTGCCTTTATTTGATCTTTTATGACACTGAATCATTGCTACTTAAAATTACTTTCCTTTCTTGGCTTTCATACCATTTCCCTCAGTTATCCCTTTTACTTCTCTCGTATTTTCTTGGTCTTTCTCTGTTCATAATGGGCCAAAATAATCTTTCATTTCAGTCTATACATTTTTCCATGGGTGGTACTGCGCTTTTCCCCAGATTCATCTAACGACATTTAGCTGATGGTGCCTGAGTTTTTTAGATTCCTGGAGTTATCTCCCTGAGGACTCCTAAATCCATTCTTTGTCCTAAATTGCTGACCTCGTGTATCCAACTGCCTACTGAACATCACTTTGGATGTGCACAGGCACTTCAAATTCAACATACCTCAAGTTCAACTTATCTTCCCCTTTCTGCATTACTTATCCTAGAAAATGACATCATCAAGTATCTAGTCACCATGACAGAAAAATCTACACCACTAGTTTCCATTCTGTCTCTTACTCTCCAATGACTCCACCAGGCTTTTTTACCTCAGGGCGTTACACGATGTCTCTGGCACCTTCTTGCTGGGTCTACCTTTGTCTTGTCCTTTAAATCTCAGTTTAAATAATTCCTCAGAAAAGCTGACTCTAACCACTTACATGTAATTTGACATCTTTATTTGCATTGTTGTCTACCATAGCAACCTGTTTGCTCTTTGATAATGATCACGATCAGCAATCACTCGTTTATATATTTGTTGTTTAGTCCTTCCTGCCAGAAGGTAAGTTGCTGGAGGGCAGAAACCTAGTTAGTTTGTTCATGGTTGAATCTCCAGCACTAACAATAAACTAGGTGCTCAGAAACTATCTGTGCAATGTTAAAGGAATGACTAAATCCTCATCCAAATTCTGTTGATTCTACTTCCCACATAACTCTTTACATCCTCTATTTTTTTAATGTTTATTGATTTTTGAGAGACCGAGAGAAAGAGAGAGAGACAGAGACAGAGATGGTGTGAGCTGAGGAGGGGCAGAAGGAGGGGCAGAAAGAGAGGGAGACACAGAATCCGAAGCAGGCTCCAGGCTCTGAGCTGTCAGCAGAGCCCGATGCGGGCCTCGATCCCATGAACTGTAAGATCATGATCTGAGCCGCAGTCAGAGGCTTAACTAACTGAGCCACCCAGGTGCCCCTACATCCCCTTTATAGGAAGGAATCCTGCCTTATTGATCTTTGTTTTTCTTACTGCCTGTCACATGGAAGGTGTTCAGTAGATGTTTATTGACTATGGGTACATAATTATCATCTGGTATCATAAAAAAGTCCAAGGAATTAATATAGGTTACTAAATGTAAAAAAACTAGAAAAATGTCCCCTCTACTTTTATTCCCTTTAAGGTAGTGCCCCTTTATTAAATATCTTTTTCTGGTCTAAATTACTGTTTAGATACTACCGACTTCATCCTAGCATTTCTATGAAGTAAAGGTCAGTCATTATTTGTTTTCTAGCTACTAGATGGAAAGTCTGATGGATGAAGTGACATGCACAAGGCCATCTAACTGTTGCCATTTGCTCACACAGACTCCTTTTAGCTTCATGTACTTTCTTAGCCTCTCTTACCCTTTCTCACTGTTGAATGCCTTCCACCTTTCCTAGGTACAGGCACTGCAAGAAGGAGTATTTTCACGGACATCTTTTCATGATAGGCAAGGCCTGGGTCTTGCAGTCTTCTGTGGTCTCCACAACAATGAACCATACCGGTTGTTGGGGCAGTCCTGGACAAGCTCTACGATGGCAGGGTAAGCCTGGCTGCTTCCCATCCATTGCCTAAACTTTGCTTCCTATTTACTTCTCTTAGTCAAATGAATTAGACACCTGAATATTCAGACATAAAACCAAAATGCTTATTTCCTGGAGGAAATACTAAGGAAAGACTAAAAGTGAAACTCTCTCTAGCGCTTCCCCCCAGTAGCTTCTTTAGGATATCCCTATAGGATTTAGAAATAAGGACAGATGAAGATCCAAAAGATGTGGTGGTCTTCATATTCCCTCAGGCATGGTCTGGCTGTACAGGTCATGTGAACTGACTGCTCACAAGGAGAAAGCTGGAGACAGGCATCAGAGTCTCTCTGGGCTGTACGTGACCTGTGCTATCATTGTAAGCATTGGGGTCTTTTTAGAATTCTTGTCCCTCTTCGGTCTATTTGAAACCATTTATATGAGATCTGTATTATCAGGGCTTCTCTACTCCAAAATCCTTCCCTACACGGACATGTACATGTTAATCATATTAGCAAATCCTAAATTCCTACCCAGAATGTCATCTTCTTAAACTCATCTACTACCTTGGAGAGACAGAAATTGCTTTTCTCATTCAGTAATGCAATAAACACGCATTAAACACTTTATGTGCTAGGTTTCATGCTAGACACCAGGGATGCAAAGACCAGTAAGATGGAGTTTTTGACCTCAGGCTCCTCAGGGAACTCACAAGTTAAAGAGGAAGTCAGAAGAGGTAACAAGTAATTATAATCTTTATAGGTGATACAAGTATATTGAGGTGGGAGCAATTAATACCTTGTAATGATGGCCAGAAAAATCTTAAGAGGAATGAACTGACAGGAATTCAATACTGAAAGAAAAGGCATTTTCCACAAGGAATGTTGAGGCTGACAGAACAGCTCTAAAAACTTCAAGTAATTTGGTAGGACTGGAGACAGGCACAGAGAAAGACAGCAATAGTCAGGCCATAGGAGGTCTTGTATGCCATGCTAAGAATCTGAATGCTTTTGGTAGCCCATCCTGCTTTCCTATAAATAGTACAAACTCCCTAATACTCCATAATAAATCACTTTCTGCCTTAAACTAGTTAGATTCTGTTTTCTGCTAGAAGAACCCTGACACAATAGGAGAGTGAAATGAATAGATGTGTATTTTTTTAAAACCTCTGGTATCAAAGTGCCAGTATATTTATTATAGGTGGGCTTGCTAATCTATTTTAGATAGATTCATATATATATATTTCTGAAGTACTAGGACTTTTAGCTGAGAGACTATTGTTCATGGTTTTTAGCACAGAAATTATGGCTATATAATCTGCTCTTATATTTAAAGAGGTTTTTTTTAAGTTTTTATTTATTTATTTAAGTAAGCCCTACACCCAACTTGGGGCTCAAGCTCATGACCCCAAGATCAAGAGTCACATACTCTATCCACTGAGCCAGCCAAATGCCCCTGCTCTTGTATTTGAAATGAACTTTCTTTGTGTAAGAAGAGACACTGATTCCTAGAAAGCTTTTCTTTACCTACCTATTTTGAATGTTTATGTCACCACTCTTTCCCAAAATGCATATATTCCCTAAAGACAATGATGTCTTTATTATGGGTACTTCACCTCCAAACACACACATAAATGTTTCCCCGTACTTCTGCATACGATATCAGGAGTTTTCAAAAAAATTTTTTTTAATGTTTTATTTATTTTTGAGATCGAGAGAGACAGAGCATGAGCAGGGGAGGGGCAGAGAGAGAGTGAGACACAGAATCCGAAGCAGGCTCCAGGCTCTGAGCTGTCAGCACAGAGCCCGACGCGGGGCTCAAACTCACAAACCACAAAATCATGATCTGAGCCGAAGTTGGACGCTTAACCGACTGAGCCACCCAGTCGCCCCATGGAGTTTTAAGTTAAAGACAAATTTTCCTACCCCTTACTCTCTTGAAGTTCATTCACCAACCTAAGGTCAAAAACTCCTACTCTAAAATCATAGAGGTAGTTTCTTTCCAAAGCCAGCACTGAGACTTCCTAGGACGAAGGGAAGTTCAGTTCAAAAGCAGATCATTTTTAGAGAAATAACTTGCTATATTTCCCATAATCAGAACTTTTTTTTTTTTAAATTTTTTTAATGTTTATTTATTTTTGAGACAGAGAGAGACAGAGCATAAACGGGGGAGGGGCAGAGAGAGAGGGAGACACAGAATCTGAAGCAGGCTCCAGGCTCTGAGCTGTCAGCACAGAGCCTGACGCGGGGCTCGAACTCACGGACCGTGAGATCATGACCTGAGCCAAAGTTGGACGCTTAACTGACTGAGCCACCCAGGCGCCCCAGAACTTTTAAAAAAGTTATTGTTTTTCAAAATGAGAAAATGGTAAACAATTATTTCCCTCTCCCTGTCACATATTCACTCACCATGTTTCGGGCTGAGAATGGGAAATGGGTCTCCTAGTTTCCAGAAGAAGTACATGAAGGTCAACCACAGGAGACAGGAGAAGAGCAGTCGCTGCCTATGCACTAAGAAGGACGAGAAAGACTAAGGTTAAATGGATCCACATTAGAGAGCTTGCTCTACTTCCAGATATGGAATCATGCTAACTACGATTTGACTGGCTTGTCCACTTGGCAAAGGAATGATGGAATAATACCATTTTTAGAGAAAGCGTATTTATCGTCGCAAGAGGAATTTGGCTGAATTAAGATGTGGGTTAAGGGAGACAGAACAGTAGAAACAGAAAGATAGTTGTGGCCACACAGGTGGCTTAATTATTCATTCAACATTGATTTTATGCCTACTTTTTAAAGATGCTGGTGTGGGGCACCCCCAAACAACAGTAGTTACTGAGAGTAATACAGAAATGAAACTCTCCACAGCCTCAGTCCCCACGAATCCTTGTCTCAATCAACGTGCTGACATGAGCAGGTAAAATACTCACGTTTACAAATACTCACATAGTCGGATGTTGCTCACAATAAAATAGCCAATGTAAAAAGGCACCATGAACACCAGGATCAGAAGGATTACGCACAGGTTCATTTTCCAGTGAAAATAACGGGAACTGAAATGAGTATCAAAGAATATGGCTAAGAGGGGAAGGAGGCAGCAACTTCCACTCTCTTTAGTCTTCCGAAAGATCTCTTGCTCTTTGAACTCAATACCAGATATATCCCATCCAATTAGTCCAGTAGGCTGTTACGGTCTGCTTGTTTATAGAGGTTAAAGAATAGATTATAAAGTTCTGAAAGGTATATATGACCATCCTAACTTCCTAAGAATTTTACCTATTCAAATGAAATGTTAATGCTCTAGTTATATTCATAGGCAGTGTATAATAACCTATTAACATACACTATCACTGGTAGAATGGCTATTGTTTCTCTTACCACTGGGAGGCTCATAAGAATTAAGAGAAAATAAATATTAATGGCAATATGTGCTATAAAGACATAAACATTTCTTACGTATCTTCAATATAAATAAACATTTGATTTTCATGACTACTTTAATGCTTATAAACTGTATTTTATTAACTGACTAAAATATTTTTAGGACTTTTCTAATGTTATGCCTTTTATTCCCATGACTTACACATTCCATAATCAGAAGCCTGTATCTCCCACTCCCCTTCACCCATTTTGCCCAATCCTCTACTGTGGACATTTTTTAAATGAAAAATTTATTGAGATATAATTCACCCCTTTAAGATATAACTCACCCATTAATAATCCAATGGTTTTAGGATACTCACAGAGTTGGCAGCCATCGCAACACACTTTAGAACATTTCATCACTCCATAATGAAACTCTGTTCCCATTACCTCTCCTTTCCTCTCAACTGCCCCAGCCTTAGGAAACCACCAATCTACTTTAAGTAGATTTAAACAGATTTACCTATTCTGGAAATTTCATATAAATGGAATCATACAGTATATGGTCTTGTATCTGGTTTCTTTCACTTTGCATGCTATGCCATCTATCAATACTTCATTTCTGTTTATGGCTAAATAACATTCATTCAACTGTATGGATATGCCACATTTTGTTTTTTCATTCATTAGTGGAGGGGCATTTGGATTGTTTTACTTGTAAGCTATTTTTTTCTAAAATTTTTAACATTTATTTATTTCTGAGAGACACTGAGAGACAGAGAACAAGCGGGGGAGGGGCAGAGAGAGAGAGAGAGACACAGAATCCAAAGCAGGCTCTAGGCTCTGTGCTCACAGCACAGCTCTGTGAGCACAGAGCCTGACACGGGGCTCAAACCCACAAACGGTGAGATCATGACCTGAGCCAAAGTCAGTCGCTTAACCGATTGAGCCTCCCAGGCGCCCCATTATTATAAACAGTGATGCTATGATCATTTGTGTACAAACTTTTGTGTGGACATGTTTCATTTCTTTTTATATTTATACTGAGGAGTGGAATTGCTGGGTCATATGATTACTATTTAATTTTTTGAGGACTGCCACTATTTTCCAGAGTGGCTGCACCATTTTACATTCTCCCCAGGAAGAATGCTAGGGTTCTCCACAAATTCTCCAAGCTTCACCCACACTTGTTACTGTCTTTTTGATTATAGCCACCCTGATGGGTGTTAAGTGGTAGCTCATTGTGGTTTTGATTGGCATTTCCTCTCAAATGGCTAATGACGTTGAGTGTCTTTTCACGTGCTTATTGGGCATCCGTATCTTATTTGGAGAAATGCCTATTCAGATCCTTTGTTCTTTAACAATGTGTCTTTTTATTATTAAACTATTAACAGTTCTTTATATATACTAGATTGAAGTCTCCTTCAAGTGATTTATAAAAATTTTTTCCTCATTCTTGGGTTGTCTGTTTACTTTCTTGATAGTGTCTTTTGTATTTATTGATTTTTGAACTTACACTTGGGCCTTGTTTCAAAAAGTTTAGTGGTTAAGTGGTTTATGAGGATATATAAAATACAGAATGATGAAATAAACTGTAAGTAGGAAAAGAAAGGAAAAACATGGGAAAAGATAGGTAAAAAAGCAGGCTAGGCCTGATGACAGTTTTGAAAATGCAAACCATAGGATTCTGGAAACTTATATGAGTGGATCATAAATTTAGCTTTAAGCTTTCTAATGGTCGACATCAAATAGAAAATTTGATCAGTTAAACAAGTGACAGTGCTACGGGAAAAAACAATTGCTTCAAGGAAGCATAACTATTACTGAAATTATTACCAAGACTGTAATGAAATTTCTCCAAAGATTTCCTAAAGAAGAAAATGTGAGGGCAATTAACAATGTCTTCAACAACACCCTTTCAAGAGAAAGGTCAAAATGAGTTTCACTGGGCTGTTCCTTACCGTTTCTCCTTAGTACAGGGGGTGGGTATCATAAAATAAAGAGCTATTCATTAAAAGCTACACTACAAAATGCCAGTATCATTTAGTCTATATATACAGACAGCTTTTTACTGCTCTGGATTAACCCACTGTTACTGCATCTAGAGAAACAAAGACGCTGCACATTCTCTGGGCAATTGTACTTAGTATTTCAGCTCAACTTCTAAAAGCATCGGGAGACAGTTTGAAATGACAAGGGTGACACATATTGCCAATTAAAAGTGAACCACATGTTTTAACTGTTATATGAGCCAAGAGTAAAATGACATTCTCTTGGAAAAATTGAGGATCCTAACAAGATTATATATTTGAATAGGAGACAATACCACTTCTGCTTAGAGGGGAGTCAAAAAATACTCTTGGTTAGGGCCAAGATTTTCCTTTGAAAACTTCTGAACGCAGTCAACACACCAATATAATATATAATCAAGGCCCATATTTCTGTGACATAGTAGGGCCAAATGTTAGCATGAAAGAAATAGGGGTAACTGAACATGTCTTAGTTTACACAAACCCAACCCCCCCCAAAAGCACCCTAAGAACAACCAGATTTTAGCAATGCAACTTCCTATATTCTTTAAGATAAACTATTTAAGAAACTATCAAAGTAACTGAGTTTAAAGGTCTTCCTGTATGGATTAATTATAAATGAGTTAAAAGTGGGGACATCATCTACCAAAAACAATTTTGGTTTTAGAAAATATCTGAGCCAGTCTTTTCTTTTGGCACTTAGATCAGTAGTCAGCAAACTATGGCCTTCCAGACACCTGTTTTTATAAGTAAGATTTTATTGGAACACAGCCATGAATTTGTTTATTCATCGCCTATGGGTGCTCTCATTCCACAGCAGCAGCGCTGAGGAGTTGTAATGGAAACCACATAAGCTGTGGAGCCTAAAATATTATCTGGTCCATTATAGAACAACTTACCAGCCTCTAGTTAGAGAGCAGTGAAAGTTCCAGCTTGTGATAATAACATTTAGTAATTTTGAAGTTAAAGAACACTGGTCTATTCTTGATAGTCACAGGATCTATATCTTGCTCATCCAAAAAAGGTTTGAAGAACTAGTTTAATAGAAGAGGCAGAACATACTCTTGTTTTATCATACGATAAGCTTTTAATTTACCTATCAAGAGACATTAATTATCAACTCTGATTCTCAACGGAATCTGCGAATACAGTCTAAGTCTCAAGTGTCAGGAGTCTGAAACAAGTTATACAGCTTAGCTCAGCACCGATTCCTGACTACAGAGTCAAATGCCACCTTATTCTTGAAAGATTTTTCCATGCAGTGATAAAAACACACAGGTCATCACAGAATAGCTGATGTACTCTACACACAATGGCCTAAAAAACCCCAAACTTCCTGTTTAACAAGAAATACTTTGGACTATAACAAACAACATGTCTGTTATTTGGAGAGGAATAGGAGTTGCTTTTTAAAAACGCTTTAAAGAAGACTTTAAATTCAATCAGACTTGACCAGGCCTGTGAAATCAACAAAGGTAGTGAGAGCTGGAGTTCAGACTTCAGAGAAGCCCATACAGGACTAACTGAGGAATTCTGATCTTTTCAGGTAGAGATTTTTTTTCATTAGCACAGCAATGTGAAAGGCCAATAGCAGGATTCAAAGAGCAGCCTCAGGACAATAAAAGCTCTAGGAGTGTAGCCTGGGACCTAGGCTCTCTCTCATAGCCTCATTCTCAATGAGCTCAGAGCTAATGGTCAGATTTCTTTTTCCCTATTTCTCACGGTCTGTGTCAAACCAGCTACCAGGTGGCTGGGACCCAAATTTGCTAGGATTCTTATAGTTACTGAGACTAAACTAACTGCATGGTAGAATTTTTTCAGCTATGGGATTCAGGTAAGTCTTCTACCATAAAGAAATCTTATAGGTCTCTTCATGAGAAGAGCTAATTAGTACTCACCTGCTATTCAATACTTTTAAGATTTCAAAGATGATGAGCTCAAACATGGTGCACGAAAATGCGAAAGTCACAGAGAAGATCACCTGTACCACATATTGACGTACCTATTAAAAGTCAAATACAGAATACAAGTCATGTCCTTGTGTGAAATATTGAATTGATAATCTTCTGGTCACAAGTCTGACAAAGAAGAAATTCTTAAATCACTGGAAACAGGGCAATAGCAACTTTCTTGGAGCTAAAGAAACAGATGGAAGTAGGTAGTATTTCTAAATCATGACGCACTTTTATCATCATCTTGTGGATGGAGAATTTAAAGCACAAGATGAAGTGACAGGGTCAGGAGTAGCACTTGGAATTCATGATGCACACTGATCAAAAAAATGGACAGATGTACACATATGTGTAGGTTCATACTAAAAGGGTTTCTTCAACACTCTGCAGGCCTTGGACCAGTTTTGGAACCTCCCCTGGGAGGCCTTCTTGAGCAAAGCAGAATCTCTAGAATCCTGGGCTCTTTCAGACAACAACCCCAAACTCCCTGGGGAAGGTTTAACGGTGAACATCCTAGAAATGATCTAAAAGTAGTCCACAGCCATTGAGCTTACTACTAAATGAGGATTAATTAGGAAATGTCCAGTCTAAGCTGGTGCTTCTATGAATTCAAGACTTAAGAACCAGATCAGCCTTAGCATTTTGGTATTAACTTAGGATGTAAGATTGGTCATTAACACTGAAGGTCAGATACCCAAACTAATGGGAACATTTATGAGACGTAAGTTAAATTCTCTTCCAAAAAATATCTGCTATTGTTCTGTATACTGATATTACTAAGACATGATAGTTCTTGCTCCTAGGCTACATATGACTTGCTTTAAAAAAAAAAAAAATCAACTAAACTTAAATCATATTCTCCAATTTAAAAATTATATAGTACTCATTTGGCCAAAACTCCCTATCTTGGAAGTGAACATGACCTTTCTTGAACGGAGGAATTTTACTCGCCCACTTTAAAACAATCTAAATACATAGAGTAGTATAACCAAAATGATATCTTCTTACTTCATAGTCCTTAAACAGTTGGCGCATGAAGAAAAGCCATCCAAATCCAAAGAAAAGTATCTGGAGGAGAAAGAAAATCGAATTGTCAATATATGTCATCTTTTGAGAAATGCCTAATACAGACTATTTTATGATAAAAGGTCTGCTAAACAATTAACTTATCTCAGAGATTAAAGACAAGATCCACTTATGTCAAGTCCATAACATTGGGAGAGGATGTTAAAATGCTCTTCAATTTTTGAAGTTATCCATGTTTTAGAACATTGTTTAAGTTAGGCAAAAATAAAATATTTTTTCCTGTAATCCTATGATTATCATTTTAGCCAGAGATGCTAGCAAACAAAAACAGAAACCAGTGATACTTGCTTCTTATATTAGATCCCTGTTTGCAAGTATCTCGAAAAACCAAAACTTTATGGGAAAGGAGTTAAAATTAAAAAAAAAAAAAAGGTAGAAAAACTGATTTTTTAATGTCTTTTCTTTCGTGTAGCTTTCTTAGCCTCTCCACAATCCTTCCTAATCCACATAAAGTGGTTTTCATCTCAGTATAAAGCCAAGAGATTGAAGGATCCCACTTCAATGGTTTCAGTTTTGGTTCGAGCTGGCATCAGAGATCGTAGCCACAAGACAGCCCTGTTCAGTGCTCCAAAAGCTGGTCTGTTTTTCACTGGTGAACAGAACCTTTGCTACATACACACACTGATACAACTCCTTTTTTTTTTTTTAAACAGTTTATTTTTCTTAAAGTGATCTTTACATCCTACATGGGGCTTGAACTCACGACCCAGATACCAAGAGTCAGATGCTCTACTGGCTTAGCCAACAGGTGCCCCATAACTCCTCTTATATGGGTTAAGAACTTTAAGAATAAAATTCTTTTATGCCTCCCCACCAACTTCAGAAGGAAGTGTGAACTCTTGAGCATGGTTTAGAAGACTCCTCCAGCCTCTTGTTGTGTCCCTCCTACCCACCAAACTCACATTTTCAGCCACATGAAACTGCCTATGGTTCTTTAGACACAATATTCTTCTTTCATATCAAGATTTCTATGGACATTGTCCTCTGACAGGAACTTCTCTCTAGTCCTTACAGGTCTTAATTCTTAGAACCTCTGGAAGGCTGGCTCTGACCTCTTAAAGGTAAGTTGCTCTTTTTATATAATCCTATTCTACCCTGTATTTCCAAAGGACTTGCCACACAGTTTTGTAATGTCTAATTTAATCACACTTTCTTAGACATTAGACTGTAAGCTCTGTGAGGACAACGATGTTTGAATGTCAATCTGTATTTCCAGCACCCTGTACAATGCCTGGCACATGGCAGACTCTCCATTAAAGTCTGCTGAACGGATAGATGGTCCATAGCGAAAGGTGGTTTGTTCTTGAACACTAAGCCTCAATTTTTTGGTGACAACTTCAATGTGCTGCGCTAAGTGCTGGGGATACAAAGATGAGTCAGACAGTCACCACCTACAAGGAGCTTGAAGTATAAGTGGTGAAGACACTAAGTAAGTAATTATAATGTCACATGGGACGTGTGAGGAAAGAAATATACACATATGTAAAAGAATATGGAAGAGGGAGTTAGGGTGGATTTTCTGGAGAATATCTTAGTTGAAGAAGGTTTTAATTCAGGGTTAAAACCTGTATCATGTGCAAATTTGGGGATTATATGTATTTTTCTAGGCAGAGGTTCTAAGGTATTTGTCACATAGTCCAAGGTTTCTACCACCCCTAAACTATTAAACGACTACTCTCTTAAAGGATGAAAAAAAGCAATACGCAGGTAAAAGACAGGGGATGGAGGCAGGAAGACTGGGCTTTCCTTCCACGTAGGAAAGAATAGGAGGACAGGCACAGAAGTGAGAAAATAGCATGGTATATACATGGGAGTATCCTGGGAATATACATGGGTATATACAACACATGATTGGGTGCTGCTGGAAGATAAAACTCAGAGAAGGAAGCCGTTAAAAATGAGACTTAGGAGGAGCAGGAGACCAATGAGTAAGAGTCCTAAAGGCCACCCGAAGGAGCTTGTAGTCTACAGGTGATGAGTCCTATTTTAATAGGGCAAAGACATGGCCCGGTTTGTTTTATATGGAGCACTTTGGTGGCCACGTGGATTTGAAGGAAACAACACTGTAGAAAGAGAAAGTTTACAGAAGGTTGCTGCAGCAGTCCAGATGACAGATGATAAAGGCCTGAATGAAGACACTGGTTGCTGGAGAGGAGGCAATCGATTTGAGTACTTAGAAGGTTAAATCTGCAGGGAGGAATAAAGCTTGACTTGTCTGGAATACACAATGAAGATTGAGGCCACCCAACTTATATAAAGAATATTGGATAAATAAAAGGTCTGGGAACTAGGCTGGGATATTAAGAGAGGAGTTCACTTGCTAAGTGCCTGAGGGCCATCCAGGTCAACACAGAAGAGATTATGAAGGCAGAGCTCAGATACACCTGAGTTAAAACCATCTAAGTATGTGAGATCACCCAGGAATAGTATGTATAGAGTGAGAAGAGCAACATGGCAAGAAGAAACAGTGGAGGGTAGGAATGGGGGAGAAGAGAGCAGGAGGGAGACAGAGAAAGAGTGGACAGAGACTAGACACCAGGAGAGTGGAGTATCCTGAAACCAAGGGAACAGAGTTTGAAGGAGTGTTAAATGAAGCAGAGGGACAATAAAACCAGGACTGAATATTGTTCAAAGGATTTGGTTAACTTGAACGTCAATGCTGACCTTAAGGAAAACAGTTTGAATAGTGAAATGGGGGGAGGAACCAGACTGCGGGTGGGCTGGGGGTGAAAAAGGTAAGGCAAGGGAAACAATGAACACAAATTAACCTAGCGAGAGCCAAGAATGAGAAATACCAACAGCATTTTTCACAAAACCAGAATAATACTAAAATTTGTTTGGAATCACAAAAGACCTTGAACAGCCAAAACAATCTTGAGAAAGAAGAACAAAGCTAGAGGTATCACAATTCCACATTTCAAGATAGACTACAAAGCTGTAGTAATCAACACCGTATGGGTACCGGTACGAAAACAGACATATAGATCAATGGAACAGAATACAGAGCCCTGAAATAAACCCTAGCTTATATGGTCAATTAATCTACGACATAGGAGGCAAGAATATACAGTGGGGAAAAGCCAGACTCTTCAATAAACGGTGCTGGGAAAACTGGACAGCCATATGCAAAAGAATGAAACTGGACCACTTTCATATACCCTACACAAAAATAAACTCAAAATGGATTAAAGACCTAAATTTGAGACTGAGATTATTTTTTTTAATTTTTTTTTTAATCTTTATTTTTGAGAGACAGAGAGACAGAGCACGAGCAGGGGAGGGTCAGAGAGAGAGGGAGACACAGAATCCGAAGCAGGCTCCAGGCTCTGAGCTGTCAGCACAGAGCCTGACGCGAGGCTCGAACTCACGGACTGTGAGATCATGACCTGAGCTGAAGTCGGACACTCAACCGACTGAGCCACCCAGGAGCCCCGAGACTGAGATTATTAAACTCCTAGAAGAAAACACAGGCAGTAATCTTTGACATTGGCCTTAGCAACATTTATCTAGATAGGTCTCCTCAGGCAAAGGAAACAAAAATCAAAATAAACTATTGGGACCACATCAAAAAAAGATTTTGGACAGCAAAGGAAACCGCGAACAAAACAAAAAGACAACCTACTGAATGGGAGCAGATATTTGCAAATGATAAACCTGATAAGGGGTTGATATCCAAAATATGTAAGTAATTTATACAACATCCGAAAGGCAAATAATCCAATTAAAAATGGGCAGAAGACCTGAATGGACATTTTCCCAAAGAAAACATACAGACATGTGCCAACAGACACATGAAAAAATGCTCAACCTCACTAATCATCAAGGAAATGCAATTTTTTAAGGGAAATGCAAATTAAAACCACAACAAGATATCACCTTATACTTGTAAGAATGGCTACTGTTAAAAAGACAAGAGAGGCGCCTGGGTGGCGCAGTCGGTTAAGCGTCCGACTTCAGCCAGGTCACGATCTCGCGGTCCGTGAGTTCGAGCCCCGCTTCAGGCTCTGGGCTGATGGCTCAGAGCCTGGAGCCTGTTTCCGATTCTGTGTCTCCCTCTCTCTCTGCCTCTCCCCCGTTCATGCTCTGTCTCTCTCTGTCCCAAAAATAAATAAACGTTGAAAAAAAAATTAAAAAAAAAAAAAAGACAAGAAATAACAAGTGATGGCAAGGACGTGGAGGAAAAGGAACCCTTCTTGTGCACTGTTGGTGGGAAAGTAAATTGTGTAAAATGGTATGGAGGTTCCTTAAAAAATTAAAAACAGAAATTCCATAGGATCCATTAATTCTACTATTGGGTATTTACCCAAAGAAAACAAAAACACTAATTCAAAAAGATATATGCACTCCCATGTTTATCGCAGCATTATTTACAAACATCAGGATCCACAGATAGATGAATGGATAAGGAAGATGTGGTGCGCGCGCACACACACACACACACACACACACACACACTGTGGAATGTTATGCAGCCATAAAAAGGACGAGATCTTGCCATTTGCAACAATACATATAGACCTAGAGGGTATGAGGCTAAGTGAAATTAAGTCAGAGAAAGACAAATACCATATGATTTCACTTATATGTGGAATCCGAAAAAACAAGACAAACAAAAAGCAGAAACAGACCCATAAATTCATAGGACAAACTAAAGCCTGCCAGATAGGAGGGAGTGGGGGGATGCACTGGATGGGTGATGGGGAATGGGAAATACAGGCTTCCGGTTATGGAACGACTGTCACAGGGATGCAGATACGGCCGAGGGACTATAGCCAATGGTATTGTGATGGCAATGCATGGTGACAGAGGGTAGCACAGAACTCCCAGACTGGTGCAATCACCATGCTCTCTTTTGTACACCTGAAACCAAAGTAACATTATGTATCAACTATACTTCAATTAAAAAAACAACACAAAAAAAATTCTGACTGCTCAAAAAAGGCTGGAAAAGAGAAAACATTAGATAGTAGCCTAAGGACAAATGTGGGGAAAGAGAAAGTTTATAGGTCAAGGGGAAGAGAGGAGTAGAGTAAGGGGATAAACACGCGAGAAGGAACTGATGGGACACTAGAGGAGGAGTTGTTGCATCTGGTATTTCCATGGTAAGCATCTTGGCCACAAGCAGTTTTGCTGCAAACATTCTGCTGTGTAACTAATACGCCATAAGGCAGTTTTGCTTTAAAGGATAACAGCAAGTTATCAGTTTGGCTCATTTCTCCATCGATGCAATACCTCCATTTTTATATTATATATAAATATATATAATTTATATATATAGCCCTCAGAATGGTCTATACAGTGACACAGTTTTGTACCCACACTGACTGTAGAACCTTGATCCATCCATCAGTGGACATGTGGCCGTGCACCAAGAACAAACAACAGTGAGGAAGGCATTCAGGGTTCAATGAAAAGATCAGTTATAAATGTACATCCCGGTATTTGGAAACTGACACATCTCTTAATGAAAGAAGAAATTTTAGAGGAAAAACAAAAATATGTAATACCAAATGAGGAGACAAATCAACAAGCAAAAAAAAACCAAAAACCAAAAAACACGTATAATGCTATGAATGAAATACTGAAGATAGTGCTTAGGGTACAATCCACAAAATGAAATCATTTATTTGCCTAGTATTGCCAAGTGTGCTATGTTACACATTTTGGATGCATTCAAATATTTTATATCTCACAATAAGGTCTATCTAATTTTGTTATCCATTTTTCATGTTTTATGGTGTCCTTTTATTTTTTTATTATTTTTTTTTTATGATGTCCTTTTAAATGAATGTCCCGTTTTATTTTTGTAAGTTTATCTTTTACAGCAAAATTGCCTTATGGTCAATCAATTATGTGGTGAAAATACTTGTGGCAAAGATGCATACAGGGAAACTGAATTGAAGGTATTAATGATTTATTATGATTAGCGGCAACTATCCTTTATTGACCATGTACTATATTCCAGGAACTCTAAATACTTAGCATTGTAATCTCATGAAATCATAAAAACCTACGGTACGTGTCATTATCCTCATTTCAGAGAAAGCTGAGGTTTACAGAAGTTAATTCATTTACAGTAATTGTCAAAATCAGGATTGAACCTGAAGTCTGTGACTGATTCCAAAGCTTGTGCTTTTAACCACAATAAAGCTGCTCTAACATCAAAGGCACAGGTAGAGAGGATGTCCTTAAAAAGGAGCAGCGGGCACCTTTTTTTCTGACCAGGGAGGAAAGCAGCTGGAAATGGTTGTAGACATACATTAACTGCTTAGATTAAGACCTACGGTGTAGAAGGAGATCAGATCTTTTTTCCTCACTTTTATTGATACAGTGGGAGGCAAGGTTATCTGCCAAGAGTTTAAGAGATGAGGCTGGAAAAGGGGCTTTGAGGACTGATACAGATTCAGAAATGATGAGGGGAATGGAACAAACATCTGGTTAAAGTCAAGAAAAAGAACTATTTCAGACTTCATGTTATCATTTATTTATTTTAAGTAGGCTCCACACCCAACATGGGACTCGAACTCACGACCCTGAGATCAAGAGTTGCATGCTCTATCGATTGAGCTAGTCAGGCTCCCCGAAACTTCATTTTAAATAAATCTTTCAGGTCATACAAAACAGGAAAAAATGAGGAAGAGGTATTTCTAAGGTAACTAATACTTACTAGGCCTCTATGCGTCAGCAGCTGATTTAGATGCTGGGGAATACAGCATAGAACAAGAAAGAGAAAATCCAGAACCTCAAGAAGTTTATATCTAACAAACACACAAATAATAGTGATAGAGGCTAAGAAGAAAATAAACAGGAAAATGAGACAGAAGGTGGCTGGAATGGGTGCTATTGTGACGGGGTAGGGAGTCAGGAAAAGCCTCTCTAAAGTGACATTTTTACTGATAACAAAATAATGAAGTAGCCACATAAAAAATGGACAGACAACAGTCTACACAAATGATTCTTTGGTCTTAGTTCCTCGTTTATAAAGAGCATTAAATATTTAATATTGCATATGAATGCATGTGTGAAAGTTAAAGTATATGATGTAAAATACCAGAAAGCCACTTTCTTGCTTCAATTTATCAATTATATCCGTGTTAAGAATCTTAAAGGCTACAATGCAATGCCAATTTCTTCACTCACATTTTTTAAAAATTGAGTAAAAAAAAAAATTGAGTAAAGAAAAAAGATGCTACTGAAATATTGTCATTTTTCTTGAGTTGGTAGTAGAGCTAAAAATAAACCTGAATTGTCACAAAGGGACAATCAGAAAAGCCTAAGAAAAGTTAGAAAAGAGAATTATGGGTCCAGATTTTTGTGCATCAATGTATTTGAATATTATGCAACCAATAAACCAATTATGAAAACCATATAAAGGATAGTGAATTTTAAAGTAAAAAGTTATAGTGGGGCGCCTGGGTGGCTCAGTCGGTTGAGGATCCAACTTCAGCTCAGGTCATGATCTCATGGTCCGTGAGTTCGAGCCCCGTGTAGGGCTCTGTGCTGTCAGTTCAGAGCCTGGAGACTGCTTCAGATTCTGTGTCTCCCTCTCTCTCTGCCCCACCCCCACTCGCGTTCTGTCGCTATCAAAAAAAAATGAATAAACGTTAAAAAAAATTTTTTTTAATTTTTTTCAACGTTTATTTATTTTTGGGACAGAGAGAGACAGAGCATGAACGGGGGAGGGGCAGAAAGAGAGGGAGACACAGAATCGGAAACAGGCTCCAGGCTCTGAGGCATCAGCCCAGAGCCTGACGCGGGGCTCGAACCCACGGACCGCGAGATCGTGACCTGGCTGAAGTCGGACGCTTAACCGACTGCGCCGCCCAGGCGCCCCCCCCAAATTTTTTTTAAATAAAAAGTTATCTTATTAGGGCATTCCTCATTTCATAATTTCCGAAATGTTGTAATTAAAGTTTTTCAAGAGACAAGGACGATACTCCATTCTAAAGACAGAAGCATTAGGATGAAGCAATAGGAAAACTGGATCAAAGATTGTTTCCCTTAAACCCTCAAAAAGAACTGTTTCTGTCGTTTGCCACTTGAAAAAAAAAAAAAAGAAAATATACTCTAAACGCTGGGAGATGACGGGGGTGGGGGGGAATCGATAATTAAGATAATCTGAGCTTCTACAAATATTAACAGCTGGCCGGCAAATAATTGTGTTTAGTGCTTGCACTTAGAGGGAAAGGGAATTCAGCTTTGAACAAGACAGGACCTCAAAAATTAAATTAATAAACAAAACATAAATATCAGTGCTACGAAGAAAACAGAGTGGCTTAGCGAATGAAAGCTGGCAAAAGCAAGAGACCCCCTAGACACAGCTTCTATAGAGCAGAAGTTAGTGTTTTATTTGTGTTTGTACCCTCGGAGCTTTATACAATGGTCAAGTCTGCTGATTGTACGAATGAAGGTGCCCGATCGGTAAGAAAGGAGCGTCGGGGAAAGATCCGAAGAGCGTGTGCAGCAGAAAGAGGATTAAACGATGAGGTGCTGGTGCACAAAGGAAACATTCCACAGTACTTTTAAGATTTCTTAGCTGACCGCGGCAAATTCCTCCAAACCCGGATTCAGGATTTGACAACTAACCAGCAAGGTCCCCACGTGTCCCCAGAAGCCGGCTCCGATTGGCTTGCTGCGCACTCCGCGCCCGGAACCACACTTTTCCCGGAGCCATGGGTCAGCAGCGCGGTCCAGAAGCTTCGGGGCGCTTTGGGGACCGCTCCTTTCTCGCGGCACCGGCTCGGAGCACCGAAGCCGCCTAACTCCCTCCAAAAGTGGACGAGGAAGCGGGGAGATGGAGGCTGGGTGGGGGCACGGACGGCCGCAGGACGCCTCCCCACTACGAGGGCGAGGGAACCGGACGCAGCAAATCCCACACCCTCCCCGAGCTCTGAGAACCGATGAGGCGGGCCCAGGCCGCGGAAGAGGAGAGCGAGACCCCGGGCCAAGTCGGCATCACCGAAGCCCCGAGAAGATTCGCAAAAGAGGCTCGAGGGTCCCGGGGCGGGAGGCAGTAGCTCACCTGGGAGGTAATCATGATACTGGAGTCGATCAGGAAACTCATGGCGAAGTGTAGGGAGGCCTAGTACCCCCGATTCCCCCTACCCGTGTCCGCAGCGAGCTTGGGCCACTGGCCCTCTCACACAGGCGGCCTTCGCCCCGGGTCCACCCGCGGGACCGCAGCTCGCCAGCCCGACGCCATCAAGCTGCGCCCCAGTCAGCCAATCCGTGGCTCTATCCAGAGCTTCCCGCCCCGGGCCGAGGGTGGGCGGGGCGAACGCGAGGCGCTTGGAAGCCAAGGGGGCGGGGCCAGGGAGGTGCCGTTCTGGGGGCGGGGCTTAATAGAGAGGGCCTGGCTAAAAGGAGCGAGATAGAATTAGGAGGTCTGAAAATCCAAAAGCTGATGTATTGCAAGGTAGCATTTAATTTGTGAGGCTGAAGATGGGGGCGGGGGGAGGGGGGGCCTGAGCTAACATCTTTTTTTAAGTGGTAATTACATTTTTTAATGGTCATGGCTAATAAGATGAAGTTAATGATTATAATGAGTTAGGTGATAATTCAGGCATCGTGTTTTAGATGTTACAACTTATACTTGGCTATACAAACAACTACATCATGACAAGTGAGGAAGAGTGGAAAGGCAGATGATATTTTTAGCATATATAACTAGCCAAGTAATTTCTGATGTAATAACAAAAAAAAGCACACCGTGTATAACAAGAGAGTGATAATCTCATTGTACTTGGTACCCATCAGCCCACACATTGAGTACTACGCTCTTTGTACCACTCTTTAAGTGGAACAGAAATGAATCGGAGCATGCTCAGAGGTGAGCCTGATGGAAGGAACTGAAGTAAGGAGACTCAGGAACATGATAGCTGTCTTCTTGTGAAAAGAATGGGTAGAATTAATATGGCCCCTGGAGATAGATGTAAGACAAAGGACTGGAAGTTAAATGAAGCTTGATTTAATTCAAAACAAGGAATAATTCTTTAAGGGTCTGAAGATGAGTTATTTCGGGAAATGGCTTGAAGTTGCTCAACTATAGACTGAATCACTGCTTCATCCATCCAATACTCATTTCATGAAGGCCTCACTGCTGTGGGGCTTATCCTATCCCACTAGGGCTCTAGCTAGTTCTCGTAGTTCTTGTAGTCTCCTAGCACTAGAAGCAGGCTCCAGCTGATGGCAATGGTCCGGTGTGGGAAGACCTACAGTCAATACCCTGAAGAGTCTTGAGTACACCTGGCATTGAGGACCTGAGTGTTTAGAGTACTGTAATCTGAGTAGCCGAGACTCACACATTTATTACACACGGGGGAAGGTGTCTCTCTTTCTTGCAGTTGAACTCTGCCTTTCTAAGCAGCCCAAACTACCTGTCAAATGTCCAATCCCTTATCCAGAAGGCTAGGGAACAGTGGGAGTAGCCCTACTATGGGAGAGTCAAACCAGATACCTTTGTGTCCTTGGCTACAGCTCTCAGGGATGCAGGTAGATACCAGCACAGAGGCTACTGTGTAGGCATTTACCTTACGCGTGATAAATTGGAATCTCACCTCACCGAGATTCAAGGCAGTGTAATAGTGCAGAATTCTGGGAGAGTATATTAAGGCAAACAGTTTACCTTGGTGGCTTACTGGGATGTATGGTGGGGATCAGGGTCTCAGTGAACTTGGCATAGCAGAGAAAGGTATGCAGTCCCACTGGCCCCAGCCCTGTGCAAAGCTTTGAATGGCACTATTCAGGATTTTCTCCCTTGTAATACCTGTTTCCAGGTCAAGGACGGGCCTGGGTGACCCAGAGAACTACTACCCCTTGCTTTTGATTGCAGAATGTCTCCAGAAACCTTCATACTAGATTAATATCCACTTGACTCACCTCTCAAAGCATTGGGAGGGATGGCTGAAACTGAGAGGCATGAGTTTTTGCTTTCTTGTCCTCACCTTCGCTTCTCTTTCCCATTAGAGCTATTACCAATCCCCATGACCAACAGTGACCTCTGAGAGGGAGGGAGAGCTCTCCTCTCAACCCCTCAAGACCAAGTGCACAAACCCTTCCCTTCTCTGTATCTCAGTGGAGTCTAAGGTACAGTGTTTAACAATAAAACTATGCTAGTCATATGTCACAAGATGATGACAATAATTATATCACATAGAATAATATATTTATCATGGTGATAATAACCAATACTTACCAAGTGTTTACTATGTGCCAGATACTATTCTTAGATCTGAGAATAACTCATTCACTCCCTGACTTACTCCTGACTTGCCTCTATATGGCAGACACCATTGTTCTGTTTCTTTGGAAGCATATTGAGCACATTGGCACTTATTGGATACCGGGCCTAAGAGAGTGAGGCTCAGGCAGAGAAAGGAGTTCCTTTTTCTTTTTATTCCAAGCAAGAATCTTTCTCTTTTCAGCATTTAACACTGAAATATCCATTTTCTTCACAGGAAGCCTCACCTCCTATGGACAGGGTGGGATCCTGCCCTATGTCCACAACTGGACAAGAATGTGGAAACGTAACCGTTCATTAGCAGTACACAAACAACAGCAGGAATTGTTTTCTTATACTTCTAAATTTGTAGGATTATGTCTTTATGCTTGCAAATCAAAATTTGTCTAGATTTTTTTCCCCCTGGTACATGATGAATTCCTTTCAATTTGTGTTTCCAGGTCTTTTATCAGCTTATTAAGGAAGTTTCCTCCCATTACATCTTTGATGCTTATGGTTCTCTTGTCCTGACTCTCCTTCAGGAGGATGCATATTTATGTGTTGGATTTCTATTGCCTTCTCTCCATATCTATTATCTCCTCTGTGATAATTTTCATGCCTTTGTTCCTTCTCTTGGCATTCTGGGAGAATTCCTGGTATCGATTCTTTACAATACTGATTTGGCTTTATGTGTTGCTAATTCTGTTCTTTATTCTTAAATCCTGTTGTGGCTTTGCTTACTGACCGACAGCTCCTTTTCCAATTCAATGTACTATCTTACTATCTTCTGTTTCATCTCTTGCTTTACAGAGCCCATGTTTTCTTTAATTTTTTTTGAGAGCACAAAACAGATTTTAAGCTTACTTTTATTTTTTAAGTAAATTGAAATTACACTATTCTTTTACTCTTGGTGTCCACTGTTGGTTTTCTTCTTGTGTCTCTGAGACCTCTCATAGACTCCAGGTGGTTAGCCATCTCTTTATTGTTATTTTCCTTGTCTCTTACTCATCTGTAAAGATGAGAGTCCCATCTGGCCCAGTATACACGTAGAACTTAACTAGACACAGTAATTAGCTCAATTTTTAAAAAGTCAAGAAGAAGGGTCTTTGACTACTGGATAAGTATCTAAAAAATATTTAAAGGGGGGCTCCTGGGTGGCTCAGTAGGTGGGGCATCCGACTTCGGCTCAGGTCATGATCTCACAGTTTGTGAGTTCAAGCCCCACATTGGGCTCTGTGCTGACAGCTCAGAGCCTGGAGCCTGCTTCAGATTCTGTGTCTCCCTCTCTCTATCCCCCTCCCCTGCTCATGCTCTGTCTCTATCTCTCCCTCAAAAATAAATAAACATTAAAAACATTTTTAAAAATATTTAAAGGAAAGGCAATTAGTTGGCAATGAAAAAAAGATACAAAGCTGTCCTAGAAATTACGGCTTCAGTCTGATACAATCATGAAAAAAGATATTGGAGAAAGTTGAAGTTCTGATCTGAGAGACATTAGAGATGTCCATATTTATCATAATCCCATAAGAAAATCCCTTGTCAACTGTGTCTGCCTTCAAGACATGATTGAGGATTTTGGGGTCACATTATATTCTTTTGGTTCGGCTCACTTATATTTATTTGATCTCATCCATTTTCTGGAGGTTTTATTAGTCTAACTCAATTCTGGAGATGCTTTGTTCTTTCTTCTATCTATATAGGTCCAGCCATATAGGTTCTTTCTTCCAGCTATATAGGTCATCTATAAAGATGATAACTATAGTAAGTGAGAAAGATAGAAAAAATGCCCCTGGAAAACCTGGATGAATTAGAAAAACTGAACAGTGTTCAGGAAAGCTGAGCATTAGAGAGCGGAAAAGCCCCTCAAAACTCTGTCCTAGCCAAAGGAGTCATGACCAGACACTATCATTGGCTAAGGGCTTCCCTCATGGTGCAGTCCGGAATTAGCATTTTTGTTACCGTCTATTCAAATCCTGCCTACTTCCAAGAGCATTTGGAGCAGATTAAACCACATATCATTTGTACAATGAAAGCATTAAAACAAAGGAAAAGGAACCACACTTGATGTCTTTACCTCAAATCTTGCTCCTCTCTAGTTCATTCTTTCCACAGGAGTTGGAACGGTCTGAGGGAAAGTGACCAATAAAAATATGGTGGAAGTAATGGAATGTGACTTCTAAGGTTAGGTCATAAAAGACATGGAAATGTTTGCCTTGATCTCTTGGTTCACTTGCCCAAGGGGAAATCAGCCACCAATTCACAAGACCCTCAAGTAGACCCAAGAGCAACCAACCTGCCAGCACTAACTTGCTAGTCATGTAATCATGTGAGTGAGTGCGTCTGACCACCCCAACCACAGGCCCCATCAAATTCTGACTGCAACATCATGAGAGACCCCAAGCTGCTCCAGAATTCCTGACCCGCAGAAACATGAGAGATGATAGATGGTCATCGTTGTTATAAGGCACGAAGTTCTGGAAAGATTTGTCACTCAGCAACAGATAACTGATACATAAATCATCACAGGTGACATTTTTACTAAATATGTGCATGGCATAGCCTGGAGTTCTATCCTTGTAGCCTCTGATTTTCATTTCTTTACCACTCACTGTTCAACTGATAAGCCAAAGCAACAGATTTTAGATTTTTGTTATAACTGCATCTAACCTCAGTTTCTATAAATATACAAGGTATTGCTAGATCCTATATGAGATAAATCTTGAGCTATCAGAGGACTAACACAATAAAGTTTATTTTTATTTAACTCAAAGTTCAAAAGTCCAAATAGAAACTGGTAGGGATGGGAGGCCCTCTGATCTACAATCATTCAAAGACTCTGACTGCCATCTTCAACATAAGGCTTCCAAGTTTGCTCTGGGTGATGATATCCAGCAATTCGTATGAAAATCTCCACCACCCCCCCGCCCTTCCTTTATTTATGATAAAGCAAGCCTGCCTGCCTTCAAGCCTGGAACTCCTGGAACCTTTAGGGAATCTTTCTCAGATATATTCCTATGTAGTG